AGTGGGGATTTAACTATCCTGTGCTGCATTTGCATAAAAAGCAGCAGTCTAGAGGGGGATCTGTAGAGAAAGAAAGCCTTTTTTGACAGATCCCTTATGCGTCCTGCAAGGAGGTGTACAAGATCTGTCAAAAAAGGCTTTCTTTGTTGACAGATTCCCCTCTAGACTGCCACTTTTTGCCAACCAAAGTGCTGAACTGGCAAAATGTGATGGCCATTTTTATGCAAATGAAGCATGGGATATTTAAATCCCCACTTCATTTGCAATGTGCACCTGCCTAATCTGCATCCCTCAGCCGACAGAGGGATGCAGTCTAGACATACCCTGAGTCCTTCCTCTCCCCCACTTAATCTTATAGGGCTCTAAAAGCGGAGCCTATGTCCATCTATGTGTATTTACACTGACAGGATCCCTCCTTTTGAACTGAGTTAAACGTAGTCTGATTTTTCTGCATTCTCACAATAACTGCAAGCATTGGTCATCACATCTCACAATTTCTGTATTTAGAGTTAATACAATTGATGACCCCACCAATTGCCAAATTGGTTTCAATGGGCAAAATACCATTCTCACAATTGAATATCTAGCAGGCCTAAGCAAACTGAGTGAATTGCATTTACATAACCATACCCAAAATCTCACTGAGAGCTTGTGCCAGGTTAAGCACAAACTCCCTTCCTTTATATTCCACCAATAATTACAGACATTGAAATTAGTGTTAACACAATTTGTGACCCAACTTCAGTCAAGTTGATTACAATGAGCAAAACACCATTGTAGCAGTTGAATATCTAACACTTCTAAGCAAAGCAGGGGCAAACTGCATTTACATAACCACACCCAGGATTTCTTTCTCATTCCAGCTGGCGATAAAGGAAGCATTGATTCAGACCCTGCTTACCCATAGATTTTTTCTTTAGAGATTTGCTTTTATAATTTTCAGCAACTATCTAATGAAATATGAAAAGCAAATTTTAAACTAAAGTCCTGTGGATACAGTAATGCCCAACTGTTTGTCAATAAATTCAGAGCTGGCACCTACCTGTTAAATGGTGTCATTACCACTTAATGGCTATCGGCCTGGAAATCTTGAAGGCTTTTCACTTGTAAGTTAAAAGAATGTTTTAAGGGGGAGGGTCACCACTCTGCAAGCTGCACCAGCCTGCTGTGAGAGCCTTCAGGAAGGTCAGAATGTGTCTAGGAAGAGGGGAGAAGTTGAGTATTGCCTCCCTCTTCCTTCTTATACCTGCTGCTGTTAAGGATGAGGCTGGCTGACTTTCTCTTGTTTACAAAACTTTGTTTTCACTTGCGAGTGCCCAACATCCTCTGAGCAGATGTGGTTGCCCTGTCTCTAATAAAGGACGTTAATTCGAACTAACTTTTATAGGCGCTACACTAACGCTCCGCTAGTTCAAACTTAATTCAAACTAACGGAGTGATTAGTTCGAACTAGGTAATCCTCATTCCACGAGGATTAAGCCTAGTTCGAACTAGCTAGTTCGAATTAAGGGGTGTGTAGCCCCTTAATTCAAACTAGTGGGAGGCTAGCCCTCCCCAGCTTTCCCTGGTGGCCAC